GTGAGCCATCAAATGGAATCTCTCTCTCTTCTCCCAACCCCTCCCTGTTTCTCTCTCTTTCAAATAAATAAATATTTTTAAACATAGAAACCATTTTATCTAAATTGTCAAAAAACATGTGTGAAGTTGTTCATACTATTAATGTATTATTCTGTGAAAGTTGATAGGCTTGGAGTTTCATTACTCATATTGGAAATTGTATCTTCTGTTTCCTGATTGTTAATTTGTCAGTATTATTAATTTTTCACACAAAACCCTATCATTAATTTTCCCTGTTGTTTTCCTGTTTTCACTTTGACTCAGAAATACTCTTATCTTTATTATATACATTCTCTACTTTAGCATTCATTTTATTTTTTAAGAAACCTGAATATAACTCTACCATACAACCTAGCCATACCACTCCTTGGAATTTACCCAAAGGAAATGAAATTGGCAAACAAACAAGCTGTCTGCACATTAATGTTTATTGCAGCTCAATTCACAATAGCTAAGACCTGGAACCAACCCAAATGCCCATCAACAGTAGACTGGATAAAGAAATTATGGGACATGTACTCTATAGAATACTATACAGCAGTCAAAAAGAATGAAATCTGGTCATTTGCAACAAAATGGAGGAATCTGGAAAACATTATGCTGAGTGAATTAAGCCAGTCCCAAAGGGACAAATATCATATGTTCTCCCTGATCAATGACAACTAACTGAGCACCAAAGGGAAAACCTGTTGAAGTGAAATGGACACTATGAGAAACAGTGACTTGATCAGCCTTTTTCCTGATGGTTGATGTACAATGTAATACTTTATCCCTTTTAGTATTTTTTTTTTTGTTATAGTACTATTGGTTGAACTCTGTAATTAACACACAATTATTCTTAGGTGTTTAAATTTAACTGAAAAGTGATCCCTGTTAAATATAAGAGTGGGAATAACAGAGGGAGATGTACAAATTGGGACATGCTCAAGCTGACTTGCCCCAAATGGTGGAGTTAGAAACGTGCCAGGGGATTCCAATACAATCCCATCAAAGTTGCATGTACCAATGCCATCTCACTAGTCCAAGTGATCAATTTCAGTTCACAATTGATCACACTGATAGGTCTAAGAGTCAAAGGGATCACACAAACAAGACAAGTGTCTGCTAATACTAACTGATAGAATCAAAAAGGGAGAGAATGATCCAGCATGGGAAGCGGGATACACAGCAGACTCATAGAATGGCAAATGTCCTAAATAGCACTCTGGCCTCAGAATCAGCCCTTAAGGCATTCGGATATGGCTGAAGAGCCCATGAGAGTATTTTAGGCATGGAATGCCAAGACACTCTGGAAAAAAAGAAAAAGAACATAAACAAGAATGTCAAATTGTTAAGTCAACAACAGGAGTCACTGTGTACTTACTCCTCATGTGGGATCTGTACTTAATGTGTTGTCCACTGTGAAGTAATGCTATAACTAGTACTGAAACAGTATTTTACACTTCGTGTTTCTGTGTGGGTGCAAACTGATGAAATCTTTACTTAATATATACTAAATCAATCTTCTGTATATAAAGATAATTGAAAATGAATCGATGTGAATGGAATGGGAGAGGGAGCGGCAGATGGGAGGGGTGCAAGTGGGAGGGAAGTTATGGGGGGGAACCATTGTAATCTATAAACTGTACTTTGGAAATTTATATTTACTAAATAAAAGTTAAAAATAATTATTTGTTTACTTGAAAGGCAAAATTTAGACTGAGAAAAAAGGATCTTCCATCCACTGGTTCACTCACCAAATGGTCACAGCTGCCAGGATGGCCAAGGCCAAAGCCAGGAACCAGCAACTTCTTCCAAGACTCCCACAAAGTTGCAGGGGCCCAAGCATTTGAGCATTCTCTGCTGCTTTCCCAGGCAAATTAGCAGGGATCTGGATATTAAGTGGAGCAGCCACAAGAAGAATGCCAGTGGCATAGTGGTGGCTTAACCCAGTACACCACAAAACTGGTTCAAATCCTTCCCTCTTTCTTTCCTTCCTTCTTTCCTTCCTTTTTTTCAAAGATTTATATATATATATATAACTCTCTATCTTTCAAATAAATAATATATATATAATATATATATATAACTCTGTAACTCTTTCAAATAAATAATATATATATATATATATATATATAGAGAGAGAGAGAGAGAGAGAGAGAGAGAAAGAGAGAGAAGGAGAGAAAGGTATTCCATCTACCTGTTCACTCCCAAATGGCTGCAACAGCTTAGCTGATCTGAAGCCAGGAGCCAGGAGTTTCCTCCAGGTCTCCCTCATGGGTTCAGAGGCCCAAGGACTTGGGCCATCTTTAGCTACTTTACCAGGCAAATTAGCAGGGAGCTGGATCAGAAGTGAAGAGCAGGGACTTGAAGCAGGGTGCCTATGGGTGCCAGCACCTCCTTCCTTCCTTTTTTCCTTCCTCCATTCCTCTCTCTCTCTTACTTTCTATTTATTGATTTCTTTGCAATCTATTTTCCAGATTCTTAAAGTGGATATTTCTGTGAATTGCCAAGTCAGTATTGCTTTAGCTATGTCATATAATAAATGTTGATGAATTTTTATATCTTTTAAAATTCAATGTATTATTTTGTTTGATGCTTTAAACTAATGGAGTATTTACAAGCATGATTTTTCTCTAAGTGTTTATAATTTTTTTCTATTATCTTTATTATTGATTTCCACTGTTATTCCATTGTGGCTGGACAACACACTCTCTAGGATTTCAGTTCTTTTACTTTTTTTGGAGTGTGGTCTTACTACCCAGTTTACAATTTATCTTTGTTTATGTGTCATGGGAACTTGAAAATATGCTTTCTCTTGTTGTTTGGCAGACTTTTCTGTATGAATACATTATACCCCATCAATCTACACTCCTGCTGATTTTGCTGGGCTCTTCCTTCAAGGCCCACACAGTCAGGATGGTGGGGTGACAGCCATCCTGTTCTTCGACAAGAAGTACCAGAGAATAGTTCTGGTGAACATGTCCATTTATTAACAATCAGGCACAAGCTTTTAAAGGACAGGCAAAGAGGAGCAGCTGGTTCAGGATAGCAACACTAATTCTATAGGATAAAGCAGATACTGGCACCTCTACATTTCTCCAATCAGCTTGAAAGTCACGTAGCCTATGTAGCCTTTCAAGTGGTCTTTATGGGTCTGGACCACACCCGGAAGCTGTTTACCTCTTTGACAGTTGTGGGTGATCTCAGCAGTTACCTGAGCCCAAGCACAATTCTCTCCACCCCTGCCTTCTACCAATCAATTAAACAACTCCTGGATTCCGCCCAGGCTCATTAAGCTCACCTGGGAAGCTATGTGACCTTCAGGCTGATTGGATAGGCATATTGTTCCCAGTGTCTGTTCTGCCCTATGGTTAGCGTTTCCCAGAATTGGCTGCGCCCCTTTTACCTGCCCTTTATAGTATACGTGCTTGTGAATAAATGTGGACATGTTCACAGAAGCCTGTCCTGGGTGTCTTTGTGGAGGAAAAGCCACGGCCTCCTTGCTCTCCTCCACATTATGGCTTAGCAGGACTAAGCAGAAATTACAAGACCCTTCAATAGGAAGAGGGGGGTGGGAGAAATATGCCTGAGGCCTCTGCCACCTGCCAGCACTCAGGCCATGTGTGGGTCCCAGAGTGCTGAGCCCCTGGCCAGGGTCTTTCCTGGGAGGCATGGTGTGCCATGGACTCTTAACCTCCTGCATGGGCTAGGCTCACAGTCTCCCAGACAGGCAGGGGATCACCCACAGATTTTCTGCCTTGTTTTAATATTCATTAACAGAAGAGTGTTTAAGACTCTATTCTTAACATGCATTTGAAGATTCCCATTTTATTTCTGCTACTTTTTCTTACACATATTTTGTAGTTTTGTTGTTTGCTATGTACATATTTAAGGCAGCTATAGCTTTTTGATAGAATGACCCTTAATCACTATGTAATTTCTATTTCTCTGACAAATTTCTCTGTCCTGAAGTTCACTTTATCTGATATTATGTAGTCACTCTTGCTTTCTTTTGGTTAACATCCTTGTAATGTAACTTTTTTCTATGCTCTTCTTTCAAACTATCTATGTTGTTATATTCAAAGTGAACTTCTTTTAGGCAATCTATGTTGTGACTTATGTGTTGTAATCTATTCCCCGAACATCTGCAGCAGAACTGGTATATTTAGGTGATTTATAAATATAATTATCAGCATTTTAGGGCATTATCATGTCATTTTATTTATCACCTTGTCTATTCTCTGCTTTTTTAAAAAAATTATTATTTTATTTTTCCTATGGGCTACAGAAGCATTTTTAGAATTTTACTTTTATTTATCAATAGACTATTTGAGCCTATTTCTTTCTATATTTTAGTATTTGCTGTATGTTATATATATTATATATATAACCTATCACTATTTTGTTTTGACTTAAAATTTTAAATGAACTATTAAAATATTTCTTTTATATAATTTTATTTCCTCATCCCCCATTTTTTAATATTGTCTTAAATATTTCCTCCATATTAACTTAGAAAATTAGAGATTTTTATGATGTTTCTTAAAAATCCCCCAGAACAATAGGAATGTATAGGAATATATATTGTTTGACCCATACTTTTGTTTGTTCTTACTGTATTCTTTTTCTTTCCTGATGTCCCATGTTTTCTGTCAATTTCTTTCTGAGTAGAGAAATTTCTTTAGTCATGAATTGAGAATAGTTCTGCTTGTAATAAGTTCCTAAAGTCTTATGTCACCTCTTATATTCCATTTTCACTGGATACAGGGTTCTGGAAACACCTTGATATTGGCAGGTGGGAGTACAAGTCCACACTGGAGAACTGGAGTTGGACACTCTTACTGCTGGTCAGGGATAAAAGACCCAGTTCTTCTCCAGCCTTCCATTGAGACTTCCCTGGGTGACAGGATAGAGTGCCCCTCACCATTGTTACCTGCCTGGTCTCCATTGTCTCCAGGGAAACGGTTGAGGGGAAAGAGGGCTAATTGTCACTGATGTTGAGAGTCAGAATTCTGGGTTCCTTCTCTGACACCCCTTCTTCTGGGAGTGTGGCCCCTGCCTTACAGCCTGACAAGGAAGGAAACTCAGGCTCTTCCCTCAGCATTGCTGACGTAGGTAAAGATGAGCCTTTCTATTTCCTTCTATAGTGTTTAGTGGAGGTATAGTGCTTACTATAAACCATTCCTGTCTTCCAAGGCTGCATCTCTCATCTAGAGATGATTTTTTTTTGTTTATTTGTTTGTTTAAAGACAGAAGAATTGTTTTTGGAATATTCTCTTCACCCAATGACATTATTGGGTTGTTAGATTCTTTACCTCCAACACAGGGGAGTATGGGACAAGGAGAAACCCCAGGGGTCTCACCACTGTCTCATATCTTGGATTTAAGGGCAGTCTACCATCTCCTCTCCACCTTCCAGGGTTTTCTTGTGCTGTATTTTTCTTGTTTAATGAACATATTGTTTGGTTGTTTTAGTTTATACCAGAGAAATTCTCCCTGTCCATGTTCCAGGGAGAAGAAATTTCTGGTTACTTATTATTTAAATGTCTCTTCATATGACAATAATTTGGCAATGTTTTCTATAAAACTGTGTAAAGCAGACTTAGTCCTCCCTCTAGTGTGGTTGATTTAACTCTTACTATTACTTGAGGATTTATTAGTTCCCTGCAGCTTTGCCTCTCATATCTGATAGGGCCACGCTATCTCGCATGGGCAGTGCCTGGTCTTCAGAAGCTTCTGAGCTAAAGCTAGGAGCACAGTGGCCTGTAGGACCCTGATCTCCCTTGAGGGACAGCAGAAGGCCTCTGCCACAGCAGAGTGAGGTAAGTCCTTTTCTCCCCCCATCACAGGTGACCCACACTGCTGGTTGGGAGGAATATCCTGTGCCAGCATTTAGTTCAGTCTTCACCTTGGGACAAACAATTTTCATTTACTTGCCCTATTCCATCAGGGACCATGGTCACTGAAGGCAGAGGCCGTATGGCCAGGTTGGGGCAGCACTCTGGTCCTCCAGTGCACAAGTGGGTCCTATGAAGAGCCCATGCAAATGAGGAAGTACAAAGCTTCCTATGTTGGGGCTTCAGTATTAAATGCAAAGGAAATACAAATAAGTCAAAATTTATTCATCTAAATTGTATTAATTAGGCCCTCTGGTGTTTCTTGATTCATTCTTTTAAGGAAATAATATGACTTAACAAACTTAAGAACAGCACTGTTACAAGGTACTTTATCAGTGAAAAGGAAAAAAAAAAACTTAATCCTAATGAGGTATCTGACAAATTATAAGATAGACTCTTTTGTTTATAACTTTTTTTAATTTACTCTATTTTTAAATATGTCTGGTTATTAGAATTTGGAAAAAGTAATATGTAAGAATTATACTAAACATTAATAAATGAATTTGTCTTGAGCTTCTTGGTCTTACCCGCTCCAGTGCTTTAAGCCTGCCCACACACCCACACACCCCCATCTATCCCACCCTGAAAAGTGGCCCTGGACAACATCATTGTCAGCATCCCATTGACATTAGCATCTCTCTAAGGCAGCTACTCATTGTTTTCATGTTAAGACAAGGAACTATACTTAGAAAGGTTTGCTAATTTGTTCAAGCGCATACAGTCAATAAGTTAGAGTTAAGTGATGGACTTCCACATCTCTTACGGAAGTGCAAGTTCTTGCCCCAGCTAATCTGCCTCCTTCCAATAGTTTCCTGAATCATTCACACCTGGGAAGGCAGCGCAAGCACTTGAGTCCTTGCCACCACATGGCAGACCTGGATGCGGTTCTGAGTATCTGCTTTGAAATTTTGCTGCTTTTACTTGCTTCATATGCTCTGCCTGAGCTCTTGTTTCCTGACTTCAGGATCTTTGGAAAAGTCTTGTCTTGTTAAACTTCCTCCTTTTACGTAAAAATAGTCATCCCAGTTCTTATCATTTTGTTAGCAGCTGTGAGACCTGAGCCTGGATCAGGTGTAACTATTTTAAATTAGGCCTCCATCTTGTAACCTGGGCCTGACCAGGCCCTTAACCCTGAGCCAGAAGCTCCTAAAAGTAAATAAATGAACTCCCCTTGCGATAAACTCTCCTAGCAACAGCCGATTAGCAGATAACAGAGAAATACCTGGAGTTCCTGGTGTCTTCTCAGGGCAGATAAGGCGACTGATAGCTATTCCAGACCCTGTAGTTCGGCTCGTACATCCCAGCAGCTCGGATCCTATGTGTTGGCCAATCAATTTAAAAGGCATCAACCCCAAAGCCATCCAACCACCTTTACTAGGTCCATTCCTGCCACTGGATGCACTAATCAGTTCTGAGATGTCCTTTGAATTTCCCGCGGGATGAGATGATTTGCTAAATGGTACCACGATGTATAGAATGTCTCTGAAAACCCTATAAAAACCCTGTTAACTGAAGGGTCGGGGCTCTCAACTCAGACCCGCTGTGTCAGTGTTGATTGAGAGTCCAGGCCCGGACCTGCAATAAAACTCTTGTGCACTTTACAGCAGTGTCGGCTCCTTGGTAGTCTTTGGGGACAATTGAACTGGGCACAACACAGTCATTTTATGGTGAATGTAAAATATTTGTTTTTATTTGTTTCTTGTGTTTACTAAGCTGGCGTCATTGTGTCATCTTGAATTGACTTGTTTTTCAGTACTACTCACCTTCTTCGTGTTACGCAGCTTCTTAAATCACTTTTTGGAAATGATTCCTCTTGGGGAAGGAGACAGAAAATTTCCTGTGCAGAACATTTTCTGTAACAATTTTCCACAGTTCACAGTGAAACTCCTAAGAAGAGCATTGTATGAATAAATGGGTTCGAAGAAACCAGCTGCCCAAAACTGCTCACAAGTTAGAATCTCCTTCCTCCCTACCGCTCTGCTTCACTGATGGATAGTTTTCTTATAAAGAAACATACATGTTTTCTTAATTAGTTGATTGATTTCCTAATTACTCAAATAAAAACCAAGTGAACTCCTATTAGGATACTGTTTTTATTCCCTCTCGCTCCAACAAAGTGTTTTGAGTGTGGCTTCAGTAATTGTTCTCATCTACAGAACAACTGTTTTCTGCATGTGTCTCCTTGTTTAATTTCCACAACATCTGACTTCTTCTTAAGGTTTACAGACATCTCCTAGATGCATTAAACATGGACCTAGGTTTCTGTTTCTCATTCCTGATTTGAGAAAAGTGGAATTAAAACCTTCACCCCTTCACCTGAAACACTGAAATCAAGATTGAAACAGATGAAGAGGAGTGCTTTACCACACATGTCTCCTCGTATAGCTAGTGGAGGATACCATGAGGCCGTGATCTCGCTTTCCTCTTCTCACGCACCACACAGAACCTTGCCCTAACGTCTGAAACCATCTGCCGCCTGCCTTCAGCCAGCACATGGAGAGTGGAAACCAGCAGATATCTAAAGTGGCGTGACGTTTTGCTATTTCCCTGTTTTCATCACGAAGTTTCTTAGTCTGCAGTTTTTAGTATCATGATGTTCAGTCTCCTGCCCAGGTCAATGATTGAATTGTTCACTACGGGAATGTTTTGAGAGGGCCCACCAATTTTTCAGCAGAAATTGTCAACAGTTTGTGGCCTGAGATTCTCTGAGGCCCTAATCTCGAAGTCCTTCCCTAGAGGGATCCACTAGTCCTGGCTGTTGTATCCCCCCTTAACTTGATCTTAACTAAGACTCTCATTACATTAAATAACTCACCTTTCTTGCTGTCGTGCCATTACTAAAGCTTAGCAAGACTCTGTTCTCCTTTACTTAGGTAAACAACAAACTGAGTTTGTTGTTATCAACAGGTTGTCATGATAACATGTAAGGAGTCAGCTTTTGGCTACTCCATAACCTACAACTGACAGTGCTTCTTACTTTCCTTAGTATAAGGTTTATAATATAATGTAAACTAATCTCTCAATCTATGATTATAACCCACCATTATTCTAAAAATGTTTTTAAAATATTTTTTATCTGAAGGAGGAGAGAGATACAAAGAGAGATCTCCCATCCAGTAGTTTATTCCCCAAATGGCCACAATGGCTAAGGCTGGTCCAGGTTGAATCTGGGGGCCAGGACAGCCATCTGGGTTTCCCTTGTGGGTGGTAGGAGTCCAGGTCCTTGGACCATCATGCACTGATCTTCCAGGTGTGTTAGCATGGAGCAGGGTGAAAAGCAGAGTAGCTCTGATTCATAATGGTTCTCCGGTCTGGGATGCCAGTGTTGCAGGTAGAAGCTTAGCTCACTGTGCCACAACACTGGCCCCCCAAGCACATTTTGATAAATTGTAATATTTTTACCAGATAGTAGTTTGACAGCAGTCATTTTTATATGTTCAAATGTAATGGCTTGCATCCTATGAAATTTCCCAACATTATTCCAGAAAACCCTCAAGGTCACCAAAAATAAGGAGTGTGACAGATGCCAACAAGTGACACATACTATGCTAGATGAGATCCTGAATGAATTTAAGGACTTTGGTTAAAAACTAAATTCCCCACCCCCCAAAAAACAAATAAAACACAAACGACAACACCAAAAACATGAAACTCAGTTAAAAATATTATTCAGTGTCAGTTTGTTAATTGTAACAAATGTGCCAGTAAAGCAAGATGTTAATAACATCGGACATTCAGAATGATATATGTGGATGCTCTCTGTATTCTCAATCATAACTATTCTAAAAACATTTAAAAATTTCCTATTTGACCACTTTCTTATGAATCCAGATGATTTTCTTTTAAGATGTGCATGATTACTTCATCCTTAGAGCCTTCTTACTTTATCCTCTCCTGATAAAAAAACTAATTCCCCAAATCAGGAAACACGAACCTCATCTGTCCTTACCTGAGGCAAGAAACCCCCTGGCATCTCCGTCTTCCCCCAAAGTCCTCCAGCAGGACCTTCTTCAAGTTCTCTTTTCCTTTATGAAATTGCCTTTGTCGATCTCTGGCCCTATGAAGAATTCTTTCCTCTGTTTACAAGCAGCTGAAAATTGCATTATTACACTAAGCAGAGAAATTCCTGAGAAACAGACAAATTGCATTGCCACTTCAATAATGGACAGACAGACTACCTGTTAAGACAGGTCTTGGCAAGTGCACAGGTTTTGAAGTTGAATAACTGTGCAACGTAATTAACTTCCCGGAGCCTCGTCTTCCCTTTTCTATAACGTGAGAATAACGATCATTTCAGGATCATTGTGGTAATTAATTAAATGAGGTAACATCTATTATGGATAATTAACTCCAGTATTGAGAAGGGTGGCAAATTGTCCAATGGGGAAAAATATTGATCATGTACTAAATGGGAAAGTGTATTACTAGTATGGCAAATAAAAGGATGAAAAGGACACAATCTGTGTCCTCAATTAATAATTAGTTGAGACAGACAGTGAAATGATAATCTAGCAGATAATTTATGGGCTATCCTAGCATAAAGAAAGAATATTCTGTAGCAAAAGATAAAGAATGTATATTGATCCAGACATTGAGGCTTAAGGTTTTACGAAGAAAAGGACCTATAAACTGAACAAAAGTTGTAAGTGTTCATTAAACAAGAGACAGGATTCACTATAGACAGAACAAGATAAGGCAATGGATAGAACCATGAACCAGCACAAAAACATCTGGAGACAGCCTTAGAATTCTTCATGGTAGAGCAGAAACTGCAAATGGGTAAGTGGCAGGTGACAGTGAAGGGAAAAGCAGATGATGGCAGGCCTTGGAAGTCATGTTGAAATGCTGAAATGTATCTTGTTTGGGCCCCTGGAAGACTGTACAGGAAATTTTGAGAAGCAGGAGATAAGAGAGTAAACTCAGTGATGTAAAGGCGATGAAGATACCTACACAGCATTTTGGCTGTCATACTAAATTAAAAGGAGTTCATTTTTCTCTAAATAAATCAGTTATTGTGTGCATTAGAAGAGGATAGCATAAAGGGATAGTGTTTAATGAGATCACATTAGATACTTTTTTAGGTCTGTCACTTCTCTGCATTCAAAACATTGAAATTGAGTGAGACAGAATGATAATGCAAGTCAAGTTTGCCAGATTCATTAAAAACTGCAAATATTTATACAATCCTCTCTCATGTATCCCCATATTAGCATGTACTTTCATGCTGTTCCGTGTGGCAATTGTTCCGTGTGACAACTGGCCCTGTAAGTCTGAATACAAAATAATATTTTGGACTAGGTTTAAGAGAGACAGTTTCTAAAGACATTATGGCTGCAACGGGCCAGTGCTGGGGCCTGTAAGGTTGCCAGGTAACCCCAGTTGGTGCCCAGGGAATGAAGCAGGTGCCTTACTCATATGAATACATAGGAGGCCACATAGCAGATGCTAGAGGAGACCCAGCATCATGGCCATGGCTCATCACTTGGACTAGGAAGCCTGGACTCTTGGGATCCCACTCCCCTCTTGAATATCACAAATGCACAAGTAGTGGTTATTCCATCCAGCCCATGATATGCCCAGCCTCAGGAGTCCATGTGACCTTCAATGTCAACCACTTGCTTGGGGGCAAAACAGCCATGGGAAGAACAAGGAGCTGCCTGGCATTGTATCTGTGAAGAAGCTCAAATATGTATTTATATTTTGCTGTGGACACAGCTCATGTAGCCAAGAAGCTAGGTCTGCCAGTCTTCCCCTACAGACAGCAGAAATGCGAATTGCAGTGTAGTACTTGAGGTCTTTGTTTCCACAGAAAGGCCTCAATGCCCCTGACCTCTGTGTATCTACAGGATGGCCTTCCTCACTATGTGCTGCGGCTGGGATGCCCCTGGCCATGCAGAACAGCTTCTCTTCTGTGGTGCTGAGCCTGTGTATGAGCAGAGCACTGGTGTGGTGGTGATGATCGAGGGTACAAGCCCTGCTCCTGGTACTCTGCCTGGCCCCTGTGTACAGTGACCTGAGCACCTTCCACCTGCAGGCTTACATGGGCACAAATACATGGGGAGATACTTAGTGTACGGACAGGGCTGGCATTCCACAGTGATGGCTGCTAATTGGCACTGGATTGGATCTCATCCATGCTTACAGACGTCATTGTGTGCTCTTTGCAGATGGCCCAAGACCTTGAGTAATCCCAACCTCCTGACTGTGTCTTCAGCTCTACCTGATCCTGGCAGCCACCTTCTTCCAGGCCCTCTTCATCTTATATCCTGGTGGGCATTCCACCTGGGTTGGTGACCCATACCCCCAGATGGCATTGGTTTTTCCGTATAATGAAGACTTAACTTTCCTGGGGTTGAGGAAGAGAGAAACTACCATACCCACAATAATTCAAATAATCCTCATGTTGTGGAAAATATTCTCGTCATGGGAACTCTGGGCAAAATAATTAAAAAGTAGAAAACTGTGTGTGAGGTAACTGGACAAGCAATGAATCTCTCTCTCTCTCTCTCCCTCTCTCTCTCTCTCTTATTTTCTGTCTGTCTGTCTCTCTCTTGGGAAATGAGGAGGAAATTGTATGGAAAGCAAAAATGCAAGACAAGTAAACTTGGGGGGCATTTGCTATAGTGATTAAGCCACTGATTGAAACACTTGCTTCTCATATGTGAGTGTTTAGGCTCATGTCCAAGCTTCACACCAGATTACAGTTTCCTGCTAATGTACACCCGGGGAGACAGTGAGTTATGGGTCAAGTGGTTAGATCCCTGTCACCCACCATGGAGACATGGATGGTGTTCCCAGCTCCTAGCTTTGGAACTGTACCAGTCCTGACCATATTGGGCATTTATGGCATGAACTAGAGGATGGGAGCTTTCTCTTTCTCTCTCCCTCTCTCTATCTTTCCCGTTACATTAAGTTTTCTCTTTCACATTCATAGTAAATATTAGTGCACGGGAAACAATTAGAAAAATCTTCACATCTTGCTCTAAATTCCTGTGGCTAGAATTTAGTTGGCTTGATGAACTTTTTTACTTACATTATTCAGTTAACACACACATTTGTTTTTTGCAGACTTTGCCTTG